CATTATACCTGCCACCCCTGAGTTATAGGTCACAATTATAAGATGTGAGGCAGTATACAGAGAAGAAAAGACCATGATGGAGAAACTAAATGAATTATTTGCATTGGCCTTCACTGCAGAGGATGTGAAGGAGATTCCCAACCCTGAGCCTTTCTTCGTAGGTGACAAATCTGAGAAACTGCCTAAGGTGAAGCAAACTGATAAATTAAAGAATAAGTATCTAAGAGCAGAATGCATTCTCACAGGAGTTCTAGTGGGACTCAAATGTGAAATTGCAGGACTACTAACTGTGGTTTGTAACCTACCACTTAAATCAGCTTCTGTTCCCCATAACTGAAGGGTTGCTCATGTAATGACAATTTTGAAAAAGGGCTCTAGAGGTGATCCTGGCAATTGCAGGCCAATCAGTCTGACTTCAGTACCATGCAAACTGTTTGAGACTCTAATAAAGAACAGAATTATCAGACACACAGATTAACATGATTTTTTCAGAAACAGTCCAACCTAAACCTCCCTTGCTGCAATTTAAGCCCATTGCTTCTATCATCAGTGGCCAAGGAGAACAATTTTTTCCCCTCCTCCTTGTAACACCCCTTTAGATACTTGAAAGCTGCTCTCATGTCCCCTCTGTCTTCTCCTTTCCAAACTAAACAAGCCCAATTATTTCAGTCTTCCATCATAGGTCATCTTCTATAGACCTTTTTTGTTTTTTTGCTCTTCTCTGGACCTTCTGCAATTTGTCCTCATCTTTCCTTAAATGCGGTGCCCAGAACTGGGCGCAATACTCTTGTTGAGGCGTAACCAGCACAGAGTAGAGCAGAAGAATGACTTCTCGTGTCTTTCTTACAATATTCCTCCTCATACATTTGAGAATGGTGTTGGCTTTTTTTGCAACAGTGTCACACTGTTGACTCATACTTAGCTTCTGATCCACTATGATCCCCTGGACCTCATGATTGAAAAGGTCCCAGGGCTCCAGGCCATCACCATTGCTATTGTGGCAGGCCAGAGCACTGGGCCTTTTGAAATGAGAGTGAGTATACACAAGATATTGACAGACATTTGGACTCCGCTCCCAAATGAGTAATGGGCCCTACTGGCGATGGTTCATCTCAGTTCTGTGTGAACTGTCAGAGAGAGGATAGTGATGCATCCACTCTTGATATTCCCTCTGTGGTGGGAGCAGCACTTCACAATGGACAGTGCTGGAGGCTGCTGAGGTATTAAAGGTGTGAACATGGAGGTGTAGCCCCAGATCAAGGCCATCAGTGCAGTCATCAATCAGAGCCCAGGGCCAATCTTTTACTAAGCCCTGACATTAAATCTGACGTGAGGGGCAGAAATTAAATGCTGTTGGCATCTGTTTGACTGCTACTACCCTTTCATTACTTTATGCAGGCAGGGACTGGAACAGAGTGGTACTTAGCCAGGCCCACTTCATTACATGCAGACTTTTTCAGAATCAGCCAGACTATTGTAGGTGTCCAGGTGGCTAATAAGGAGCTGCTGACTGAAGCATTGATGCCAGTTACAGGGCCCTACTGTAGGTGCACTTTGCTTGCCTTCACATGACTCTGATTCACAGATGGTGATTATACAACTCTCGGTCTTCAAGTGATGGAAATAAAAGCATGGATGGTGGAAGAGCAAAGGGAGGAACTGAGCATGGGGAAACGAGTGGTGCTGCTAGGAGAAAGGAAAATAATTTTAAAATGTGCAGGTGCACTAGCTTCATACTTGACTAAAGACATCTGACCATTGGTGTCAAGGCAATATGAAGTTTCAGATGATATATTGCTGTTTATCACCCCCAAACTAGACCACTACTACCTTCTGATTTGTACACTCCAGGGCTGTGACTGGGGTCAGAAAGCATCCTGCAAATTGTGGGTCCTAATGTAGCACAAATAATTAATAATAGTAGACACTCTGGTGTGCATCGAAATGTGGTTCAGATGAAACAAGAACAGGGAGCACCCCAACAGTGAATGATGAGCCTGGGTTTATACCTGGGATCTCTCATAAACATAATCTACTAAAGCCATCTGGCTGACTACAAGACATTTCTACCGTACTTGCACTTGCTACAACAGATATCGAGTGTGTCTCTGAAAGAAGCATCTTCACGAATATGTTGTGAATGGCATTAATTCTCCCGCAGTGACCCGGTTTGTAAGTGACGCAGAGAAAGACAGGGCGTTGAGGAAGGGGATAACTCTCTCTCAACTGCTGCCCCTTGACGGAGCCCCTAACTTGAAATAAGCCCCAGCTCAGCCACTGGTGCCTTGAGTGTGCCAAGCCATTTCAGTGGTAAAAATCATCTCTAGAAGGCACTGGTGCTTTATAGCCCCTCTTTCGCTCTTCAGTTCATAGGCCAGATCCACACCTCAGCCATAGGCCTCAGGGCTGTTCTCTCAGCCCTCGACTGAGAGAACAGCCAATCCTCTTCCCGTGGGAGCACGACAAATCGACAATTCAGAAGGAAGCCCTAGCAATCAAATGGCTTGTGGAGGCCCTGTGATATAACCTCCTGATGGGTCTTCTTCACTGAGGTCACCCCCCATGCCCCTCTCAAGTTGCTCCTGCCTATGAAAGACTCACATGTGAGACTAATGTGGCGGTACGTGACCTGAAGCCATTATGCTTTTCCTGTACAGCATCAGGCAAATAGGAAGAATGTGAATATGGATGGTCTCTCACAAGTCGGGGAGGGGACCATACAAGCCCCAGAAAGTGGAAGCCAGATTTGAGGGGTCATATTGCAAGGGGGTGTGGTCTCCCACCCAGAGAGATGGGACAGGAGACACAACCTCCCCCAGGCAGGCAGAAGCAGGATATCTACAGCCACCCCACCAGAAGTGGAGGGGCAAGACAAAACCAGGAAATGATGCTGTAAAAGGCCCTCTTTCTAGCTGAGTTGGGGAAAAGCTGATGAAGGAGCAAGAAGTCTCTGGAGCCTGAGCCTGTCGGGGTCTGCTTCGGTGCCCCAGACAAGGGAGGGGGGCGAGTGCTGGAGCTGCCAGGCCCTGAGGAAGTGTGTGGAGCTGCCATTTGACATCTGCCCAAGTAAAGCTGACAACAACCCCAGAGCCCAGGTGCACCACTGAGGCAGGGAGGAGGGAGTGCAGGGAAGACAAATAGTGGTCAGCTGTGTGCCAGTGTAGGACAGCTTGCACAAGGCAGTCTGATTTCTCCTCTGACCCAGCAGTGGACGTGGACCACTTCAGCACTGCTAGGGCCCTGGGCTGGGATGCAGCTGGGTAGGGCGGCCTGTATCCCCTGAGCCCTGTCACCTGCCTTCCAGGATGGCTGTCTCCCCACCCAGTTGGTAGGAGGGTTGCATTGTTCTGCCACCCATCTGAATTAGGAAATAGACTCTCCCAACAGAGATTGTCTGTGGCACTGCTGGACTGGAGGCCAGAGCCCCTACAGCAGTGGCAGGGGGGCTGCTGACCCATAGAAAAATCAGTCAGGAGCCACACACAAGTGAGAAGCAAAACAAATGAAAACTCCAAATCCTTGCTGATGTGGCCCGTGACTGAGAAGGAGAAAGACACTCTTCACATTCCCTCACACACCAGAGCCAAGGGGTGCCCAGGCTAGTAGATTTTTTGTGCTCCAGCCTTGCTATAAGGTAGCAGGGGGGCTGGAGTGCCTGTGTGGGCTCCCTAAGGTTGCGGGGGGGAGGTGTCCCTGAGCCTGACCCACAGTGACCCAGGAGGTGTGGCAGCAAGAGACAGGGAGGGAGTCACAACTACTGTTCCATTCTCTAAACTTCTTTCAGACTACTCTGCAAAAGTATCCTGCATGGGGAATCCCAAGTGCAGGGAGTTTCCTCTCTCCTGGACACCAGCACAAACTCTTTTAGCAAATGTTGCTCATCCTGAATGGATGCCAGGGAATTAAGAGGTAAACAGAGTCCCAGGGCTTGTCTCTTGTCCACCCCACACTAAGGTGGTTCCTAACCCCAATTTCTAGGGTGAGTTTTGTGCTCATGAGTTAGGCTCTAACTACTAAAGCACCAGCTAGGCATGGGGTTTCTGCCATATGCAGCATACCTCAATCCTGAGTCCAACTAGACCTCAGGCAGAACATGGCGCTCATCTAGTCCTGGGCCTGCCTGGGTGAAGAGCAGACTAGAGTGCTAAGCTGACTCCAATTTGATATTCGCTACACAGCACTGCAGATGAGAATGGCATCTCTGCTGATGTTGTATGAAAATATTGGCTTAGATCTTCCCCCGTGATAGACATCCTGCTGCCACCAAATGCAGCTACAGCCCATTGCCAATGAGTCACGCACACAACCTATGGGAAATGTAACGTCCCTCTAGCACACGCCACTCAACTACTAGCAGTGCTAGTAAAGGTTATAGTCTTTGATGACAAATTGTGGACTAGGTGACTCTGTCCTCTGACCCCTTCCCCCAGGCATTATAACATGGAATCAATTTGAATTCCTTCTATGCCCAGTAACCATCTATGATTACCTGGCAAGGCAGTGCCTTGAAAAATAGCATTGAATCAATGGCTTTGGGGCCTCCACTTTGGCAGATTATTGTTGTATGGTCATCTCCAGGAAAATGGTTTTAATATTAACCATATTTCGTAGCAAGGCCTCATTACAACATATACCATCCCAAACCCAAATGTACCCTGATCCCATTCAAACGTAGTGGAAACATCCTGTTTATTACTGCTGACAGCAAGAATGCTGTGTAATGAAATTCTCTATCTTATCTACTTGTGTGGTTCCTAGCAGAACATGGTTCTAACCCATTGTGTGTATGTATTCAGGAATGGAGCCTACTCATTTGTTATCGTCTCATCCTCTGCTGCAGTCATGTTTTCTAAAGGCCAGTGTCATGCAGCAGGAGCTCACTAATATGAGATCTCTGTGAAAGGCTGCAGATAGCCCTCCGGGTGACACAGGGAAGCCTGTGTCTCAGTGTACGCATGGGCACCTGGCTAGACTCTTTGTTCTCCCATCATTCATTCCAGTGCCTGGGTATCTTGGCTGTTACAAGGACTATGGAGATCCCCCTCTGACTGGCCTCAGCAAGACCTCCAACAAACTTACTATTCAAACCTGCATCCGCTTCTGCCGTAATCAGCAGTTCAAGGTAATTGCTCGGCTCTCCATTTACAGAGAGGGGTTTTTAATGCCCCAGGAATCCTCATCCTCCTACTCTGGGGAGTCCAACCTCCCTCCTGATTGGGCATAAGCCAAAAAAGGAATACTTCAAGTGCCAGGATGAGGTGCCTGCAGGCATGTGAATGGTTTTGTATGTGTAACCACACACACACATACACGCACACACACACACACGGCTTTCTCTCCAGCCCTAATGGTACCCCCCACATCCCAGACATCTGCAGAACAACTTGTCAGGTTTCTCCTGACCCACTCCTAATCATTCTCCTTCAAATGGCACACTCTTTGCTGTGCCCTTTATACCCTGGTATCTTGCTACTTATATTCCTCAAATGTCAGGGCTTCCTGCCTGAAGTCTTTTTGTTCTCTTAGTTTGCAGGCATGGAGTCAGGCTATGCCTGTTTCTGTGGGAATAACCCTGACTATTGGCAATTCGGGGAGGCCGCCAGCACAGAATGTAACAATGTTTGCTTTGGGGACCATACCCAACCCTGTGGTGGAGATGGCAGGGTCATCCTCTTTGACAGTAAGTACTGAAATGGGCTGAGCATCTCTGAAAGGAGAGACTTGAAATGCTTGGCAATGGAGGGCAAAGAGTCATCAAAGAATATGGGCAGCACTGAACACAAAACAATGGAAGACATGCAGTAGGGCCCAATTCTAGGGCATCTGAGACCCTGGCCAGCTCAGAAAAATGAGAACCTACATTCAGAGTTAAATGAATTCCTCTTCATCCCAGTTCTCTGAATGGGCTTGCTTAGGTCTTCCAATAAAAATGACTTGCTCAGACAACTGCTTCATGCTCCAGGCACTGGAATGCCCTTTTCCACAAATGGCTCTTAAGTGGCCACCACTCACTACCAAGGGTCCAGCTCTGAACGCAGCATGGTAGGAATAAAGATAGCAGTACCATAGCTCCCTACAATAACCTTGTGACCTACCACAATTCCTGTTTGGGGCAGGGCAAGTTTGACAAACAGAGAGGAACTGGTTGAAAATTTGAAGGTGGAAGTCAACTTGGATGAAAGTCATGGGTGGCAGGTTTATGAGACAGAGGAAGGCATTGCCTTCCCAAACTGCTAAGCATGAGCACACGCACACTCCACCCCCTGCTACAGTGTGCTTCCTGGGCTCTCCCCGAGCTTCAGCTGCACTGACGCTGGGGACGGTGGATATTGTGCCCTACCTGGGCTCCAGGGCAGGGATACTTTCCCTGTACTCTAGGATCATGATAGCTGGGGCTCCATGCTGCCTGTCCTCTTGGTGCTCCATGGATGAGGCTCACATGGGAGTCTGGAGACCCTGCAGTGGCAGGGGAATTGAGGGGGGGGGAGACTAGAAACTTGTTTCCCTAAGGTGGAGGGGCTTGGCTCTTGTGGGGTTTGGGCCCTCAGGTAGAAAGGGTGGAGCTGGAAGCTTGCCTCCCCTTGCCCTAGGTTCACCCACCACCCATGGCAAAAATTAGTATGAAATGGTAAAGTTCATAATTCTAAGGAATGGCAGGAGGGAGAAGAGCAAAAGAACTGGTAGGTAAGATCCCAAGGGAAGCATGTTTAAGGGAATAGAGCGCTGACAGTTTTTCAAAGTGATATTATTAAGGGCACAAGAGAAAATTATTCCTCTGCACAGGAAAGACAAGGAGTCTGGCAAGAGACCATCATAACTTAACTAGGAGATTGTGAATGTTCTACAAATCAAAAAAGAGTCCTATAAAACGTGGAAACGAGGTCAAATTACAAATGATTAATATAAGTAAATAACACAGGTATGTAGGAGCAAATCAAAATAGCTAATGACCTAAGGGTAATAATAAAACATTCTACAAATGTATTAGAAGCAGAAGTAAGACCAAGAGCAGAGTAAGGTTGCTACTCAATGAAGAAGGAAAACCAAAAATGTGGAAATGACAGAAACACTTACTAACGTCTTTGTGTCCATTTTTATCAAGACAGTTGGTGGTGATTGGATGCCTAAAATAGTGAATGCCAATGAAAATGAGGTTAGGGCTTAAATAGGCAAAAATGGGGGAAAGGGATAACTGATGAAAATTTCTTATATAAGTTAGATGTCTTAAAGGTAATGTGGCCTGATGAGATGCCTCCAAGCATAATCATAGAGCTGGCTGAGGAGACATTGGAACCATTAGCTATCGTCTTTGAAAAAATTATGGACAATGGGAGACAAGAAAAGGGCAAATCCAGTGCCCAGCTATAAAATGGGAAATAAGAAAAAAACCAGAGAATTACAGACCAGTCAGTTTAACTTCTGTTACAGAAAAGATAATGGTGCAAATAATTAAGGAATCAATTTGGAAACATCTAGAAGATAGAAAGGTAATAGGTAACAGCCAAATCATGTCAAGCAGGCCCACTAACTTTCTTGGATAGGGTGACAACCCTTGTGGGAAAGGGGAAGTGGTAGATGTGGTATACCTATACTCTAGTAAAGCATTTGATGACTGTCACATAAACAAACAATGGAATTGCAACCTGGATGGAGCTACTATAAGGTAGGTGTATAACTGGTAGACTGGAAGGGCATAACAAGTGGCATAACAGGGATCAGTTCTGGGACAGATTCTGTTCAATGTTTTCATCAATGATTAAGATACAGTGAACCCTCGTTTATCTCGGTAGATAGGTTCCAAACCC